GTGTCCGGGGTTCCGTGACTAAAAATAGCGGCTTCTGGATTGGGTTATTGGATGTATTTGAATCACTGTCATACAGTTTCTCTTATTCACAATCAATTATAGCGCTACGGTTAATCTACACACTTCTTAAATTACTAGGACACGCTAAGTCTTCTCAGTCTTCACTAGTCGTATCCTGACAATGGATTTATAACAGTCTCACTGTAACTACAGTACACACCATGTCTTCTTTCCGCAAGCTAACTCCGTTATACGTTTTCAGTTCTCTAATTCGAATTCTCTAATTGCCCTGGCTCAAGTCAAAGTCACATTGCGACTGACGGTCGGTCAGTCAGTCTTGGTGTCGAGGGCTCATGACCAGATATTTATTATTGTTCGACAGTTACGGTCTTGTTTTCATGGGGCGCCCTCTCTGACGAGAGGACGGGTCTGTCTTTTGTATATGCTGCTGGCCCTTGCCAGCAACGAGTTGTAGCGTGGTCCACAGAGAACACAGTTCCTATTGTTGTGTGTTCGCTGGAACGTGTATACCGAGTCGTTGCCTAGCAATGGGTATATGCGTCATAATATTATTATCAAATGAACTTTCTCAATTAAAATATTGGGAATCATTGTGTTAGCAGTTTAATGCATTAATGAAATTGCGCACTATTTTTATGTTGAAAAATAATATTTAATAACGTCTTATTGTATATTATGCTCATCTCGGTCCCTCTGACGTATTTAATTCAACACACATTGACCGTTAGTGTACTACAGGAAGTATACGCAAGCTGGTGTGAATACATATTGTGTTGTCTTCAGCATGTTTCACAATACTTTGATCTTTGTTTCAAAATATACTTACTATTATAAGCAATGTAGTGGGTTAATAAATAAATAATAAATAAATAATCAATGCACTGGCTTCAGTTTTATAAATAGCTTTTGGTCTATCACATCTTAACACCGGGCTATCAGTCCACCTGTTTAATAGTCATCATGATGAAAGATGATTATCAACATTTTCTACCTGGTACCCCTGCCCTGGCTTGTTGCCAGAAGCGACAGCCCATTATCACCCGTCACAATTCAAAGGAAATTTCATTACCATTGCCATCTCGGTAGGATGCTGACAACAGCAACGATATCTCTACTAATTGGAGAGCTGCGCCTTCATTTATAGGTGCATGACTGATTTGTATCCCCTGCTATTAGACTACTGGATCTGAAACCTCACAACAGCATGTATCTATGGTTATAAAACTAATTGAAATTTTACCGGTAAGTTGTTCATGTGGCCGGTCACGGTAGCCGAGCGGTCTAAGGCATGTACTGTCTTCGCTCGCTTGGAAACCGGGATCGTGGGTTCGAATCCCACTCAGGGCATGGATATTTAGTTTGTGTGTGTGCGCGTTTTTCTGTGTTTGTGTACAGGTAGAGGCCTTGCGACGAGCTGATCACCCGCCCAAGGAGTCCTACTGAACGTGTAAGATCTAGAAAAACCGAAGTGAACGGGGAAGTTCATGGAGGTAGGCCTAGGCCCACTGGGGCTGTAGTGCCAAGGGGGAAAAAAAAATTATTCATCTCATTTCAATAACTTGAAATTTCTGGGGAAAACCCCTGCTTTTAGGTATATAACAGAGCGTCTAGGCTGTCTCTGGGGCCCACCCAGCTTCCTATCGAATGGGTAAAGGAGGAAGAGCGGCCGGGGCGTGAAGTTGATAATGATTGCGCTGTAACTCCACTCTCACATACTCCTTCATGGCGTAATGCTTAATTAGGCAAATACATAAAGATAGTTTCTGTGAAATAGCGGGGCTGTGTTACGGTTTTGATGAAAGGTTTTCAGCACAGCTTGCTTAAAGAGAAACGGATTTCTTAACAAAAATCTCACAACAATACAATTGCCCAAATTATTTCGAACGGACTCAAACGCAACAAACGGTAATCTCTGAAATAAAGCGTTCCAATTATTAGCTACAGTTTATACAGTTAGCCGTATGCTTATCTGCTTTTATGCACTTTAAGGGACATGCGGTAGCGTAGTTGGTTGAAGCACTATGCTACAAGCCAGAAGGTCGAGGGTTCGAGCCCAGATGTGGTGGATTTCTTCAACTGACCTAATTCTTTCAGCTGCACTATGGCCCTGGGGTCGACTCAGCCTCAAACAGAAATGAGTACCAAGAATATTTCGGGGGGTAAAGGGCGGCCGGCGCGTAGGGCTGACAACCATACCGCCATCTGTGAGCCGATTATGTGGCACCCTCAACGTCTCACAACCCTATGGGCCTCCACGGCCTGTTACAGAGGTAGCTTTACCTTTCTATACACTTTAAATAACGGTGTCACTAAATGCATATCCTATCATCACTGGAACTACTATTTTCCTCGGTAGATATCGAGGCTGCAGGGCCGACTGAATCTCTCATTGCCGCCTGGCGGTCCTTCATGTAATAGAGTTTCGTTTGGGAATGTAGACGTTTATACAGGAATTAGCACTTGATGGTGACCCACTAGGGGTCGAAACATGTTATTCCTCAGATGAGACCTCCATGTAATTAGGTCATCTTTTATAGATTGTTGTGTTTACTGACATGCGAAATAAATATCTTTATGTTTATACATGTGGATCTGTAGATTATTAAGCCACGGTCAGTAACCTGGGCCGGATGCCACTGGTCAATGAATTACAAGGAACACAGAAACAGTGTCCGCCTGTTTTAAGTCACTAGTCGGCATTTTCTTTGGTAGACAGAACCAGGAGAGAAATATGGAGAGTAAGTGTCCCGCCCGAGATTTGAACCGGGCACGCCCAGAATTCAAATCAGAACCTTGCCTCTTCAGCAAGTTTGCTCGGTCCTGCGGAAGCATAAAATCTGTGAGACTTTTCTAGAATTACTGTCTTACGTAACATCAACACCCTCAAGGCCGCGCCATAGCTCAAGCGGTTAGTCGCTGGCTTCCCACCGCGGCGGCCCGGGTTCGATCCCGGGTCTAGTCAAGTGGGATTTGTGGTGGACAAAATGGCGCTGGGGCAGGTTTTCTTCGAGTAATCGGTTTCCCCTGCCAATCTTCATTCCACCAACTGCTCCACAATCACCCTCACCTATCATCTGGGGCTGGTACAGTAGGCCAGAAGTGGCCGTAGTACAAGGGACTTAGTCCCACCCCACTAGCAATAAAAAAAAAACATCAGCACCCTCACTGGGATTTGAGAAACACATTACTCTGCGTAGCCTTTCTAACAATTACCACTCGCATGTTATTATCAACCTTATCGTTCTTTTGGGCCCTAATTAACTTTGTAAATCCTATCTGCATACAGTGATGCTTTCTTCTAATTGTTGAGTACTTCAAAGTAATTAGAAGTCCAGCATTACTAGGGCTCTGTATCGACCATGTAATAAGAAACATTGTATTTGAATGCATTTTATAAAACACTTAAATAATATTACTAGCGAGAGTCAGTAAATATACAACGTAAAATGTGTAATATTCGATAACGTAAAAAACATTTATTTCTGGACATATCCTCCATAAACACTGATAAACCTGTCCCATCACTTTACCAGTGCTTCGAAACCCGTAGCGTAGAAGTCTTTTGTGTTGTCTCAGCCACTCCCGCAACACTCGGGCAACATCTGGGAATATCGATTATCTTTGAGAGAATTTCTCTAACCAGTTGTGAACCGCTTTACGCGACAAACAATTCCCACCTAAAACAGAAAACATTTCTTCATGAATATGCTTTACATTGAGACCTTTTGCCCACCAAAATCGCACAACCGAACGCTGCTTTTCGGCAGTATATTCCTCAAGAACGGTCACGACTACTGAAACCGACATCTGAACATGCGCATGCGCGTCTGCTACCTAAATGTTTTGAAGCTGGACTTTGATGCTACTGATACACATAGAAAATCTCTTTTGTCCATTATAGCTGTTCTGTTTTCGTTTGTGACCTATTTAGTGACTCTCCCAAGGTAAAGGTAAATTTGTCCCTGTGCTTTACTGAGCTCCACTCCATGAAGACGTATAGCTACGTCGATTATAAGCTCGTCACTAGATGGAGATGAGTGGTCAGCTTCATGCCCTGGCCGCTTTACCCCCGGGGAAGAATTCCCCGACATCCATTGTGAATGGGATTCAAGAGATGGTTTAGAGTTTAGACGCTATGGAGATGAAATGATCTCTTGTCCAACCGATAAATCGATCCCCGGACCCTAGATTCGTAACCTATTTAGTACACTGATTGAGCTATTCCGACTTACAATAAAAGTTATGTAGGACAAGTGAATTGTATCTTGGTGAGACGAGAATAATTATGCTGAATTGAAAGAGGTAAGGCCCTAATGAATATTTCTGGTGTGCAGATTAATGTTCTCAGTCTTGATGACAAGATTACCTCGATAATTCCTCCAGGGAACAGGGGTCTTTTTTATTCTTCATATATTCAAGAATAAATGTAATTCAGTCTTCTGTTCTAGAGAAACATGAAGTATCAATTGACGGCCCACAACATAATATTATGTATAGATAATATCTCAGTCACGGGTGGCTGTAATATGCCATAAATCAGAACACTTGTGTTGCTTTCGAAGTAAATTTCTTGGGAAAACGTTATGGAAAGCGACAATTGGCGAGACCTAAACGTAGGGGGGAGGATGCGTCCTAGAGGAATAACATGGGAGGGTGCGGACTGGATTCATCTGGCTCAAGACAGGGAAAGTTTGCGGGCTCCTGCCGATACAGACATGAACTTTTCAGATTCAATAAAATTCTGAGAATTTCTTGATTAGCTGAACAACTACTAACATATTTCATGTATTTACAATACACCCGAAAGCTTACTTAACCCTTTTGGGTGTTTGTTTCATTACGTCCTGTGTGATTAAAGATGAATTAATTAATATAAAACTGCTGTTTGTGGGTCACTACATTAGTTAGTGACATGAATGAACAAGCACAAAATTAGAATGCTCCTCTAATCGCGACATGATTCCTTTTGTTTCCTGCAGATGGTGACGACTAACGAAGGGGCGCCGAGTTCGTCAGACCCTGGAAGCGACTCTGGGACGGCGCTCAGCAAGTTGCGTCAGACACTGTCCTCTAGCCTCATGACAGCTCAGGACAAAGGTATGTCAGTACTGACCATGTCTGCAGTGTAATGCGCAGATACCACCGGACTTCAGCAACAGCCTGTCTGAAACATACACGGCCAATGCGATTACAGAGTTTTTGGACTTTGTCCACCGGCCGGTGTTATAAAGAACACAACGTTTCAAAACTGGATCTGTTTCCGTTCTCAGGTGAAGAGATGGGAGAGCAAACCCCAAGGATTGGATCTGGACCCAATAGAGTGGATGCCTCCCATCGCCTGGCCTGAGCGCGACAAGAGATTCAGTTTCCGAAACATTTTAAATATTAGAATAACGGACGATGGACAAAATCAAAAAGTCCAGCAGTCTCGAACGTTGTTCACAACTGCCAGAATGCTTCACAATCTACATGCACAACTCAGCACTACGGCGTTATGTGACCCTTAGGTTTCACTTCACTTTCAGCTGGCGTCCGTCATTCATCCAATCATTCATGTCTTTCTTTCTTTCTTTCTTTCTTTCTTTCTTTCTTTTTCCCTTCATAATTATCCTTTTATTTCTTACCTTTTCATTTTCCTCTCTTTTTCTTCCGTATTTCTTCCATTTCAGCCTACTTTCCTTATTTTTAAAAAGTAAAATGAGGCTTATGAAATCACCTTGCTGTCTCTCTGCCTATCCTCCCTAATTTTTGTTAGATGATTATGAGATCACCATATATTTTTTCCTTCTTCCAACTCTTCCTTTATTATTCTTTCTTCCTTTACATCTTCCCTTTATTTCTTCCATTTCTTCACTCTTCCCACTATTTCTTTATTTTACTTCTTCCTCCTTTCCCTTGTATATATATATATATATATATATATATTTCTCTTCACGCTTCTTTCCACCCTTTCATTATATTTGCTTCTTCCCAACCCTCGTTTATTTATTCCTCATCTTTATTCTTTCTCTACATATTTTCTCCCTTTATTATTTCTATCCCTCATCCTGTCATTCGTGTTACTTCTTCTTTACAGTTTTCCTTCATACTTGTACTATTTTTCTTTATTTCGTTTCCTACTTCCCTCAGTTTCCATCTGTTCTCTCTTCGTGTAACATCTGCAGAGTATACAGAGCAGATACACGATAGAGACAGTCACATACACGTAGTTTCAACTTCGTACATGCATTCCAATGCTGGTCTGACATTCTTAGTGGCTGGTGTATATCAAGTTATACAGTGCGTCCTCGGGCCCCTAGTCTTCTCAGCTGGAGTACGTGATGTATTTGTTATGACTTACAGCAGCCAAAGTTCAAGTCCAAGTTCCAACCAGCCTCGAATTTCTTGGCGGACGGAGAGCGCGTCCCTCTCATTTCGACAAGAGTGGAGTCCTTCTCTCCGGAACTGACACGACTGAAATTGCTTTCATTCGAACGAACAAGACACAGACATAAAAACCATATGCCAGTCTTCCAACAAGACCGTCACGTGACTAAATAACGTGTCTGCTGATAACTCGCTGGCTTTTCTTTGTGGTACTGTAGTCCGCCAAAAATAAGTGCTGAAGTAGTAAAGAACCGTGTACATAAGATATCGCCAATGTTCCCCATCCTGAGCGAGCCTCATTCTAATATCCCATTTCTTTGCTGTCCATTTCAATAGATCTGTTGTCCTGTCATAAATATCTAGGTCTCCTACGTGGGATCATTTTTTTCGGGTTAACCCAAAGGAGACAGTCCTTCTTGGGAAACCACTAGCTGCTGAATTATTGAAGAATTTTCCAATATTTTATGGAACCCAAAGGTTCACTGCCGTGTTCACAAGAGCCCTGCCACTGGACCTTATTCTGAACTAGCTGAATCAAGCCCTTACTTCCTCATCCTATTTTTCTAAGATACATTTTAATGCTGTCCTTCCACCTACGTCTGGGTCTTCTTTAGTAGTGTCTTCTCTTCGTGTTTCCTCTTCTCACCCATGCGTGCTACATTTTGTAGTGCTACAAATTGTAGTTATGACATGTGAAAGTAATCAAATAAAACTGAGTTATCAGCCTGAGGCTCCCACATTTTCCAGACAGCCGGCTCACAGATGGTGGTGAGGTTGTCAGCCTTATGCGCCGGCCGCCCTTTACCCCCCAGGAAGATTCCTGGTACTCATTTCTATTAGAGGCTGAGTCGACCCCAGGACATTTTGCTGATAGAAATGCCTGTAGCATAGTGCATCAACCAACTACGCTACCGCATGCCCCTTAAGAACTTTTATATATGTATGTTATTTAGCAATGAAAGAAAAGAAAATTTGGCAAAATAATATGGCATCTTTGATTCAAACTGGCACGTGTATTGCTAATAATCCTAATTCTTCCAGTTCTTTGAAGTCATTTGTTTCTCTTTATAGCAAATAGCTTCATTTCCTTCTTACGAAACTTTTGTGTGTTTTATTTAAATAAGAATTTGCCTGCAATGCACTGCCTTGCTGAAACCAATGTCAGATGCATATTTTTACGGAATATCAACAAAAGCAAGAAGAATCTCGTATATAAATGTTACAGAAAGCGAAAGAGTGGGGGGCTGACTAAAAGAGAAGTTATGCAAAACGTTAAACACCAAAGCAAACTTTGTTATCCTAGTCGATTACCAAACCTGGTATAAGAAACTTCCTTCCCCGTGAGTCCCTCTTCTGGTGTGGGGTGATTCAGTGAAGTTTCCTACTTATGTCTTTCCTACGCTAGTTCTTTACTTCCTTCTTTACACCGCTCTTTATTCGCTGTATTCCCGGATTTACTTCAGAAGCTTCCCGGCTTTATCAGTTCACAATTTACACAAAATTGAGAACACACAAAATCGGGGAAGATGATAACGGCATTTCCAGTATATCATACTCTCATTTCACAAATCTTGAATGTGATTTATTTTCCGTTTTATTTTATTTCTTAGGCATATTTGCATTTTCATGATTAATTCATAGTTTTAACTTTAAGTTCTTCATTTCTTAATTCAGAGCTCACCCCATGTACTGTGCACACATAAATATATTGGCTTTCGGTGAATTTGCGGGTCTATTAACGTGATTTTTAGGAACTATAATACTGATTGGACGATACACAGTGGCCGCGCTTTCTAAGGCATGAAGTGTCTTCGTTCTCTCGAAACCTGGGACCGTGGATTCGAGTCCCACACGAGGCACGGACATCTGTGTACCTTTATTCTGTTCTTTTGTTGTTCTGTGTGTAGATAGTGGCCTTGCGACAGACTGATCCCCCGTCCAAGGGGTCCCGCCGACTGTATAGGATTACGAAACTGAAGAAGCGACCAAGATTCAATAAAAGGATTGTAGAGCCATAGATGGATGGATGGGTAAACTAAGGAAAATTATGATAGCATTATTTACTGAGCGTAATAATATATTTAAGCATTTTGCTACGGTGGTTAAGGATTTAATTTCCGTGCACAGTCTTGCAGGTGCAAATTCTTGTCCTGGTGTGCTCCTCTGTAAATGCCACGTCTAGAGCAGGTTCGGGACTACGCTCAAGCAGTGGCACTTATAAAGGTGCGACAACGTAGCACACCAACAATCTACGACGACCACAAGAAGTTTCACCTGCAATATTTCCCACTCAAATTAAATTACTTTTGGGTGTAGTGGTCCTCCTCATCCCCCTCGCTGGGAGGGGGGATGAAAAATATATACACTATTTTTATTGGAAATTTTGAAAGAAAGAGATCACTTGGACAACCTAGGTATAGATAGGAGGATAAAAAAGTACATTTTAAAGGGATGGGACTTGAGGTTTTAGGTCTAACTACTTCGAAACTGAGTCATTTGTTTAGAGTATTGAAGCTACTGACTTTTATTCGAGAGGCGTCATATTCTAATCTCGCCCAGGATACCGGCTACTCTGAGACGAATGTTTTTTCGTAGTTTCCTCAGTCTCTTCAGAAACATGCTGGGATAGTACTTTTAATTAGGCCACGACAACTTTCTTCCACAGTCTTTCCAGTTTAGCGTTCGCTATATTCTAACATTCGACACTCTAGAGTATGAGATACTGGCAAACAAAACAAACACCGTGGTTTTAGTCCACAAGCAAACTATACCGACTGAGCGACCGCCGCTTGTCGGCGAAGTTAATGCCAACTTTTGCGGATAGAGGATGTCGCGTGGTCAGCGCAACGAATCCCCACGGCCCTTAATTTCGGTTTTCTAGACCGGAGCCGCTATTTCGTTGAAATAGCTCCTCAATTATCCTCACGAGGCTGAGTGGACCCCGTTCCAGATCCACTACTTCTCGGAAAATCTGGTAGCGTCGAGAATGGAACCCGGGACCTCTGGATCTGTAGCCAGGAACTCTGAACACTAGACAACAGAGGTGGTCATGAGATACTGACATTATTATTAAATAGGCTGTAAAATAAAAATGAAATTTAGACTAGTTGTTGGTAGGGTTCCTTGGTGGGCTCTTGTGAATGCGGTAATGAAGCTCTGGGTTTTGCAAAATACAGAGAATTTGTTTGTCCAGTTGTGAGGACTCCGCTCCACAAGCTTAGTTTTATACATCAATAGTTCTGCAGCCCTTTGTTGGGCCCTGGCCTTTCCTTCAGTTTCGTAATCTTTCTTACACAGACAGTAGGACTCCTTGCAGGAGTGATAAAACCGTCGCAAGGCCGCTGCCTACACACAGGACAACACGAACACAGAATAAACCTACACAATACAGACATCCATGCCTTGAGTGGGATTCAAACCCGCGATCGAGCTAGCGAAGGACTGTTCTTTCCTTAGACCGCGCGACCACCCTGATCGGCAAGTTTTTTCTTTACTAATTTAAAATTTAAGTAAGAAGACAATTCGAAGTACGATAGCTTCTATGAATATTCATATTCATATTCTGCTAACTTCAAATGAGATTTTATATTTATTTTATTAAACATCAGAAGCAGAAGATTATTTAAGTGAGACCTCATCTTTAGTTTGAAGCCCATGTGTAATTTTCCAATTATCTATGTATAACTCTGCCTATTTAATGCAAAAGAGTGACTTATTTGGGTTTGCTTAAA